TCAGTTGCAGACTTCGTGGCAAGCGCAGCACTTCGCGAACCTCGAAGTGCAAATTTCGTGGCAAAGGCAGCACTTCGTGAACCTCGAAGTGTAGATTTCGTGGCGCCGTAAGGAAGGCGCCCGCAACAGGAGCAGAAAAATAATCCAAAAACATAACAAAAGCCTTAAAAATGCCACCGAAAGCCAAAGCCACCAAAAGCCAAAAGCCACCAAAAGCCAACAGAAAGCTAGCACACCACAAACGGCTAAAACACATCCAAACAAGACATTTAAAACAATAACTAAAAAACATATGAACTCCTCCATTCCACCGTTCGTTGATGAATTGATTGGCTTCCATCACTATCTCCCAAAAAGAAGACTCAAAGAGGACTCCATCTCTCCAAAAGTGACCACCGAAGACTCGCGCAGACTCAGAACACCGGACGCCAACCACGCGATCCGATGCGACGGGACGCCGACTCCGCGTCGGAGCTGCGAGGCCACGAGTGAAAGTGACGAGCGACACGAGCCACCGTCGTCGGGACCATCGACGGAACTGTCGAAATGGAAGGAATGGAAGCTCTTTCTCTTTCTCCGTGGAAAACGACCTCCTTCGGAAGGCATCTTCTCCATAGAGCACCCCCCCCCTCAGAAGAAACCACCGGATGCTCCACCGGATGCTGAGACCGGTGACGATCGGTGCTCGGAACGAAAAGGCGAAGGGACGAGGGTGAGGGGGAGCACCCCTGGGCAGGTGCAGGTGTCTATGATCAGAACCGGCTGGGTAACCGGGTAGGTGCTTTTCTGGGTATCCGGGTTGGTCGTTTCCATCCAGTGACCCCTCCGCAAAAATAGACTCTCCCTGGAACTCACATGGAAAACCCACTGTTTGTGGAGGAAAATCGTGTATATTCCAAGGGGCCATTGTCCACTTTAGTTCCAGGGAATGTAAACATCCAGGCAATCCAGGTCCACGAAGTGGATAGTGGATCGCAGGGCCTTCTCCCCGTCCCGGACGGCTTTTTGGGCCAGGAGCTTGTGGTCCTGAGCTGCAAGAAAACTACGTCCGCCGGATCCGAGTGGAAGGGGGAAAGTCTAGTCCATAGAAAGAGGTGGAGCTGGGCCAGTTATGTCATCCTCTAGCACCATTGGAACCCAGGAAGGAGCGAAGCGTGCACAGCTTTGGACCCTAACCGCATCTGCACTTTGCTCGTCAACGCTTCGCAGGTCCCCCCTGGCCATTGGGGAGGCCGGATCCCTGGAAAAAGGTCAGGTGAACCAAAGCTTCCACCGGTTCGTGTGCAGTTGGGGAAAGAAAATTAAAACAAAACATTGAAGGTTATCCATGACTGGGTAGGGTGAAAGAACATTAAAGGTCGGTTATCCACTGACTGGGTAGGATGTCTTGTTGGAGATGATCTCTTGTGTCCCTGGCGATACGCCCAGCTTCTTTCAGAAAATCTTCCAGCTGCTCTTGCATCACTTGCTTCCTCCACTTTCGCTTATTCTGCCGGCGAGAGCGAAGAAGTCGCCGGTCGCCGCCGGTCGTCGAATCCGATGTAAAATCCACAACGTGGCTTGATGGTGAACCCGGGCCCATCTCTATTCGCACAAGAACCGTGTTTTTCTCAGAAGCTATAGGAAAGACACATCTAGAGTGGAGATCGAGCCGATAGCCAAGAATAAAACCGGAACCCTCTGCCTCTGCTGCGTTTGTGCCGAGCATGCATTGATCAGTTTTGCTGAAGGAATGCCTGAAAGGATTGATCTTCCCTGTGCTGTTATGTGCTATTACTATTATTCTACCATCATGATGACCATCCTCAACAATGGCAGGTACCTTGGATTGAACAGCTTGTTGCTCCATGCTAGTCTTGCTGGGGCTGATAAGTTTCACAGTGGCTTGGCCAAAGACCCCCAGCTCGGGGTAACCCATCTGAAACCGTAGTTGGATGGCAAGATGTCTTGCCACGTCCAGCTCGCAATCCCCAAAAGGTACATCGATGAAGACTCCGCGTTGAGGGACTTCCTGTAGCTCCGACTCCGGATGGAATGAGAAGAACCAGGGAACCACCCACCGAGTTCAGTCAGTTCAGTCCAAACCTTATGAATCCTCCCAGAATCTTGAGTGGGTTTCAAGGAGGGACGCACATGGGCTTTACAGAAATGCCTGGTAGCCAGTCTCCGAAAAGCAGCACGAATCCAGCAAATTGGATTCGGAATCTCACCGTCACCGGTGGACACCGACCACATCTTCATGAAGTTCGTGTAGGAATGGTGACACCCCTGGGCCCGCTACTGATCGATCAATGTACCATCATTTTGGAGCAGATAGAATCTGAACCAATCCAAAACTATGACCAGTTTCCTATGGTTATTTTCCATACTCTATCTACTTCAGGATGACTATAGGTGAACATGGTGAAAGGTATTTTGCCCCACTCACTCTGAATCATGACACCTTCTTTGGCCATGCATATCAAATACATATATATATATATATACACAGTACATATATCATATATATATATATTATCATATATTTACGAAGCCTACATCCTCTTCCACCCCCTTCTCGTTCTCACACCCAAAAACAAAAATGCCCTCACCAGTTTGCCTGCGTCAGGACAAGCTGTAGACTGTTCCTTTCTGCTCATGACTGTCGGCTGCAAAGGATTTTCTTGCTCAAGCTCCTGACCTGTTCTGAAAGAACCTACACTATGTAACTCAACAATGGACGCGAGGGAATTCTCATCTTGGATAGAGAAAGGAGGACTGACAATCCTTCAGGCAACCCTACAATTGGGTAGGAACATGGTAGATTTTGGTACAGTAGAACTCTATGACCGAAAAGAATGTGCCCCAGTGCCAGTCTCCACTGGTCACCTCATGCCAACCCCCTCCAACTCTTCACCTCGCCTTTCCATTGGTTGGCAAGATGTCCCAGTCCTCGGGTGGAGAGGGGCTTCGCTTCGTCGCTTCTTCGCTGGGCTTTGGCACCAGGAGATCGATGCGAGACCCTTGGACCTCAAAGCCTTCATCCAAGATGCATCCATGTCGTCATACGGTGTGTTGAGGGATGCGAGATAGCGATCCTCAGTGTTTCTTTCGTTTTGTGCAGAACTGTTCAGCAAGATGATGGGGTTCATGGCGGCAAGAGATAGTATAGGCCGGTGATATTATGAGCTGAAGACGCGAAAATACACACAATAGCTGAACATCATATGCAGTGGAGAGTTTCCATAGACAATGGGGGGTGGTGATGGGACAAAGGCTTTTGGATGACTTCTTTTCGGCATTTCTGCGTAACAATTACATATGCATGTCCACAAGCTCTGTGTTTTTTTTAATAGAGTGTTGCAGCACATGCGTAATTGAACCCCGGAGAAGGGAAAACCAGCAAATCGACCATTCCATGAGTACTTGTCGAGGGGGCTCCGGCAAAAATGCTATCTCCAACCAGTCATGGGGGAGAATGATTGAAATACTTACGGGGAAGCCTGACAAACACCACCCCCAGCCAGCCCCAGTATTCTCTTCCAAGCATCAGCCACGTCCATGGCGTTGCTGGCGCACGAAAAAGCTCAAAGTAAGCTCGCACGTTCTGTAGGGTCTCTCAAAATGAGAAACTGAGCCCAAAGGACGAACCGCGCGCGTTCACGTGACGAACCGGATGGAAACTCCGGGTTACCTGTTGGACGTGGGTGCGTCCCAGAAGGTCCCCCGATTAGGTCGCTTTTCAAGCACCCCTGGCCTCACATGGTAAGTCTGGGTAAGGTCATCCACTGGGCATATATCCCATTCCCTGTCACAGGATGATGGTTAGGTTGCAGGCCTCTCTCAAAAATAGTGATAGAGTCTTTTAGTGACTGCTACAGGTATATTACATATACATATAATATGACACACCCTAAATCCACTCGTCCTGGGGAAGCTCCAATGGCAGTGAGGTTCGTGGCCAAGAGTGGCCAGTGTGCTTTCGTCAAAGAACGAGTGCCGTTTCTTCCGAACCCCACATCTGGCACCATGGATCCACATAACCCTCTGAGAAGGTGATGTGGAGATACACTTTCATGTAGGCAGTCTTGGAGGGTTTAGCATCCTCTCTGAGGTCCTGTCTTACACTTCAATGTCTGCGGAAAAGCCTTTATGAATCCAAAGTCCACCGAGTCTCCCTGTCTTCGTGGGGATTTGTTGCGCATCGTCGTGCGCATGGGTCGGGTCCAGGTCCTTCCAGGGATCGATCCACAGGTGAAAAGTAGCACAAAGGTCCAATGCTTGGTGGTTTAGTAGTGGAACGCCCCTCATCTGTCAACAGGACATCTTTTGGGGTGCCAGTGCCTTCCATCTACTCTGAAAACACTGTTATATCGAAGTTGATATGCAGTAAACAGTTTCATACAACATATACAACTAGAGTTTTTATAGCTTTTCAGTCAGGCTCTGGAGTGCTACTTGGTGTGCGGGGGGGGGGAACACCACAACATGTCAATGGATGTAAGGCCGCCAGGCCGCCAGGCCTGCGTGTGGAGTTGGTTGGGTCCAACCAACTCCACAAACGATTCCCATGTAAAACGTGGGGTTTGAATGGGGGCATCCCTACCCTGTATTCAAAGATCACCCCTCCAAAAACTTGTGAACTTCTTCAGGCCCCCCCCCTCCGCAGATCGTTTTGGGTGCCCAAACGGTCCGACCCTGCCATTCGACGGTCACCGGCTCCCGCCGTCATGGTGCACCCTATATCACAAACACTCCATGGGACTGCCATAGGACTGCCGATCAATTGGGGTGGTTTTGGGGATCAATGGGGCGGCATACATGGCAGTCCCATGGAGTGTCTGGGTATTACTTTATCTCATTCATTGTAGGTTGCTTCCCCCAGAGATCCAGTCGTATGTTCGAGAAGGCTCGGTATACGACTGGACCCTCCTGGCACCCACATGACAGTCTTCACGTTTTTAGGTGTTTTTTCAGCCACCCCTCCACGTCTGCTCCCTGCCTCCTCATCCGCTCCCTGCCTCCACGTCCGCCTTCCTGCATGCGCGCCTGCTTCCGGATCAGCGCCTCTGCCTGCCGCTGCCTCGGAGGGGGGTCGGGGGTGACGCGTGTTGGGAGGTCCCACCGGTGAACCGAGTGGCAGTGTCATGTGCGGCAAACCAGGTGCTTCCGACAACATGAAGCCAGGCCCAATGAATACTGGCTTCCTTCAAGACACCAAATGCTGACATCACCGTCACCCGTGTCCAAGTTCTTTTCATCCACAGCCGCCACAGCTGCCACACCAGACTTCCAGACTCTTCGTAGCTAATTACTGGGCGTCCCCGTCGTCCCACGCGGACCTACTACGCTGACCGACCCTGCCGTCGTCCCAGGCGCTTCTCGATGTCTGCATTGATATTCCCGTCGTCTCGAAAGCTCCGGTCGTTCCTCGGCGGGGGCAAGCGGCGGTGCAAGCGGCTCGGTGCTTACGGCGTGCCCGGTGGCTTCCAAGAGGGAAGCCAGGGAAGCTGCACATGGATCAAGTGTGGGGTGAAGGAACAAGAACGTGTGGCCTGGTTGACCCCCGGCGTCAGATGAAAGAGATTCCTCTGACAGTCGATGTTCGAGGTTTCGAGATCGAGTGGTTTGAGTGCCTGGATCCAGTGACACTCGGGGTTCAAGGGTCAAGGTACCAACAGCCTTTTCATCTCAGCAGCTTTTAATCCAGATCCTCCGCCCCACCCACCCTCCCTAGGGCTCCAGCCGTACCTTCGTTTTGAAGGTGTGACTGGGGGCCGGGGTGCCAGGGTTGGGTCCAGTCATACCTTCTCAGGGAGCTACGACTGGAGCCCAGTTGAAGAACCAAGCGACTGTACGATGGGGTTTCCTCGGCTGGGCCGATTCCCGCGGAGGTCCGCGGCCACGGCCTGGCCCAAAGGGAACCCGGTCGTCCGGAGGGTCAACGTTGGCCGGTGGCGTTGGAGAGTCGCTTCTTAGCACATTGCTCCGGGTTCCCGGAGCAGTGATGAAAAACAAAGCACCTAAAAAACACCAGAAGAGAGGGGATTTGGCCCACAGGGGAAATCAAGAATCATCTTAAGCAACCAGGTGAATGCAAGAAGACATGATTGGCAAGAAGTTGGGGAAACTCGCTCCTTGGCTACCTATTTTTGAAGGAACATGGACAATTCCCGGTGACCCTCAGTCGCCCCCTCACCAGCTGGCATGGGTTTTGAGGTGAAATCTGTAGTTTGTAGCCAAGTTTCTTGGGGGGGGGGCGGAGGGCGTCCTTGGTCCGAACCTGTACCACTCACTGACTGGGATGGTACTTCTTTCACGATTGGCACTAGAGCAACCTCAATAGGCTCTTTGCCATTCCCGCACGGTGGTGTGGTCGTTCTCTTGCGGCCATTTCTTGACAATGACAAGTTTGCCAGGACTAAGGGGTGCCCAATGAAAAACTATTGCACACCACTGTGCAAGTATGGGGGTGGAGGGTAGTGCAACCTGGTAACCCCTTCTATAGTTCTTGTAGCATGCTGGTTTCTACTGGTGGGCTGGTCTCTAGTTCTTTTTTGGCGGGGATGCCGGGAGTCCTACGCCACATTGGTTAAATTGGAGCTCCCGACCTGGTAGATGCTGCTCATGGCGATTGACCGTTGGATCCGCTTGGCAGTTAAGAAGGTGTTTTTCCTCTAAAATATAGCAGTGATCTTCCCGGTGACTGTGCTCACGGGTCAATACGTTCCGATTTATCTGACTTTCCTTCCACTCCATTCTTTCCTGGGCTTGTGAAAGGTCCATGTCGCTGGATATGGGGGCTTGGAAGTTCACTCAGTGTGGTTGTTGCTCATGCTTGGCAAACCCCCTTCTGGTGTCAATTGCGTGTGCAAGCCCAGCATACAAGGCTTCTTGACCTCCTATATACACGCGGCTGTGAAAGCTCCTCTGACATCCAGTGGGACCCAGCTAAAACCACATGAGCAACAACATGTGACCACCCATAGCAATGTCCAAATGGTCCTTTGAGGCACTGCTTCCACCATGCGCCGGCCTCCCCCCTTGAGCCCAAACCACATGGGGCGATGAGTGGCCCTTACTGGGCATGAAGAAGCCCGTCACTTGAACCTTGAGCACCTACTGCAATGGCCTCCCACCTGCGAAAAACGACCTCCCCATAGACTGTCTTGGAGAAGCCCGAAGATTGAACAGAATGTCATCCTGGAATCCTTGTGGACAAGGCACAAAGCTGCATGGTTACTCCAATCAAATGTTCACATCCGCCCAATAACTCCACGAATGCCCATTTCCTACACCCACGTCCTACAACTTCGAAGACGTTTTTTCAAGGCTTCGACCTTCCCAGCAGCTCTGAAACTCGACGTGCCCCAACTCATGCAAAAACAATCGCGCAGAAGTGGACGGACGTCTTCTGCAACCGGTTTACCTTGGAAGGTCCTTCTTCGTATCATCATGAAACTCACATTAATTACTAACCTTTGGTCAACAAATGGGCAACTATTATTTGCATGAATTACTGCATGAATTCAATAGACTTTTTACCTCGCCACCCCCTCCCACATCCCCACATCCGCTTTTTGGGGTCTCACAAGGTGGCCCGAATCTGCCGCAGCTCCTCCAACGAAATCGAAGGCACTGGCGTCATCCAACGATTCCGGCGTGGCCGACGCCAAGTCACGAGTCGGAGAGGCCGAAAAGAACACATAGTCCCCCCAAACCACCCCAATGTAGGCAAATATGGCAGTCCCATGGAGTGTGGGCCCTGGGATTTCCCGGGTTGAGTTTTTGTTGAGTGAATACCGCCCCGGCCCGGGTCTTCGGATCCCATCGGGTCCATGCCATCCACAAAAAGTGTGATCCTTCATCCAAATGGTCGGGGCAGGGGGGACCGTTGGAACATCATTGGGGCCTTGGTGGCAGGGATGTACTTACTTGTCCTTCCCGTGGTTTACAGTAACTTGATTCATTTGAAGCCATGTATGGTCAAAACATGTCAAAAGGCTCCTAATGGTGCCCATTATTTGCCAATCACATTGAGATGAAACACCTCTGATAGCCGCAAGAACCTGTACTCAGCTCAGTTTCTACTTCTACCAGCTCTACCCATTGAAGGGGTCAAATCTTGAACACTTAATGTAGACTCTTGATTAATAAACACCATATGGACGTCTTTTCTTGATCTTTTCTCATCAAGAGTTTACATTATCTAGAGTAAATAGTTTCAAGTTGGTTAACTACAGGGGGTCTCGGTCTCAAAAGAGCTGTTTTAGACCAACCCAGCTGTGCACCAGTCAGCCACTTGACAAACATATCCATCCGACATTTGTGACACCACTGTTCTGTCTCCACGCTCACCTTAGCGCACCGGCGAGCAAGCTTTTCGATTGACCACCTGACATGGTTTCAACGTGCTAGTTTCGGGGACACACCTTCCACCCATTCGATGACCCAGGTTGCTTCACGTTTGCCTTGGAACTGGTATGAACTGGTCCACTTGTGGAAGCACTGCTTTCCGTGTTGGAACCCCTTCACTTCATGTTGTTGTGTCCGTTACTCCCCGGAGCACGTCCTTGCGCCACTGTTCGGCGCTCATGTGACTAGGAAAGCTCAATCTCAACCAGACCTGGGGCGAAAGAAGAGTAAAGGAGCAAAGACTTGGGAGCAGAGGAGCTGCGGCAACTGTACCTCCAAGTGGAGCCACCGATACGCGAAATTATGCGAAGATATGCGACGATTGGTTTTCCAATCACTTCGACCCGTGCCATGGCGGGATATTCTCCAAAGGGATGCTTTTTGTCTGCTGTCTGTCTGTCCAGGAAGCTGGAAACAAATTGATCAACAAAGGGAGTTGGCCCATAGGCCCATAGGGAAAAAATCACAATTCACTCACCTGATGCGCACCCACTTTCGCTGTCAAGAGTGAGAGTCAACTCGATTGATGCGCACCCACCGAAATCGGTGTGGGGGTAGTGGCAGGCCATACTGTGATTGAGTAAAGAAGTAAATAACTTGGCCCAGGTGCAACAGGCAACAGAGATGAACCACTTTTATGATTTGTTCCAAGTCTGGGCATGTCTTCCAACAGCCCTGTCAAGGAGTTTTCAAGTGTTCACCTCTTTGTGTCTTACCAGCCGGGCCTCAGAAAAAACCGCTGGCGAACCGACCTGTCAATGCTGACGACCCGACCCGACCCGGTCCGGGCCCTGCCAGGACGACCGCTGGCGAACTCGATCGATCCCATAGACCGTCGAATTCACCCAGGTCGGAACCCGCAACAAACGACCCGACCCCGAAGGCGAGGAAGGAACAGACTCAGACCCGACCGTGGGGACTTGGGGGGCTTCCATGTGGTCTGAACAGAGGAGCGGCCTCCAAGGGAGTCACACTTCATGAAGACGAAGGTTCCAGTGGCTTTCAACTTGCCAAATCCAGTCCAAGTCGTCCTGAGAAACTGACTGGATCGCTGTTCGCGCTGTTCGCATACTTGACCTCGGCTGGTGGCAAAACGACCGATGCAGCACCGTGAGCCGAAGGGCTCGTTCATACACACCATCCTTCCGTCGCAGTGTCCTCATGCTCTTTCATGTGTCTGCCTTTTTGGGGTGGGGAACAGTTGGGCCATGCGAATTTCTGGCTCCAAAGGGGCACGTGGTTAGCCCCAGGCAGGCAACAGGAGAGGTTGCAGAGCCTGGCTTCAGCTGGACTGGACTTCGGGAAAGAAGTGCATAACGGAAAACCCCTGGCAACTGCCAGGGAAGATGAAGGTCCACAATTGATAGCCCATGAAGGACGTCCAGGTGTTGTCCAGTAAGAACTCTTCCATCAACAGTCGGCGCTCAAGGTTGATAGGGGTTGGGGTTGCTTGGAAATGTCCGGAAATAAGCAAATGGACACTAAGTGCCCCACCACAACCTCAGTCTTGTTGTTCTCATCCTTGGCGGTGCAACGGCTTCTGCAGATGTCAGCTGAGTTTCATGATCTAAATAAAGCTGTCTCCAAACACAGGTCAATGAACCTTGACCCCATCTGACGCATTCCATGGTTCATCTTCGCATGAACCATCGGGTTGTTGGTTTCGAGCCATTCCTATCCATGTGGGTCCCCAAGAGTTCTTCAAATGAGGTTCCCTCACCCAACAGCCAGCAACTGGATCATTCCTCAATTCCTCATATCATCATGGAGGTGCCAATGCTGGTGCACACCAATTATAGCTTTGAAACTATAGCTATATAATACTATTCTATATCATATTAGATATTATACTATATTATATTTTATATTATGTAATATTATATATACAGTATAGCTTTCAGCTGAAAGTGCTGCACTACTGGGGAAGGGAACTGCCTGAAGCTGTGCTCCTGCCATTTCCTCGAGTAGATTCGGCAAAACATTGCACTGTGTCACTGTGCGAAACCAGCAACTAGGTGTCGTGTCTATTCCTTTGAAGGTTCGCGAAACCAGCAACGTTGCCCTATCACTATAGTCTCTGCTCATCTGATCTGGGGACTGGGCAAGGTAAATGCGGGTGATGCCAAGCAAAGGAATGCTGCCCTGGCGCAGCGGAATTGCAGCTCAAAAGGTTGCCAAACGCATCTGGGCTGTGATGCCTGAATCAGACTGGTGTGAGGAAGTAGTTCCCAGTCCCACAACCCATGGGACTGGCACAAGTGCTGATCTGAAAAAGGGATCAATGTCAGTCTACAAAAACAATGCTTTTTTGGAGGCGGTGATCTGCCAGATTCGTACCAACCTTGGTTGACGTTGGGCCAACAGAACTATATGATTCCTCCTATGTTCGGGACGTCAACCGAAAGCATGGTTTCTGTGGTTTTCACTGCCCTTCGACCCATACACATACCGTGACTCACATCAAAAGCCATCAAAGCTCTTGCCTCCTCGCCTTTGTGGGTGACCAAACCTTTGGAGACTCCAACCGGGCCTTTGGAGACTCCTTCTTCTCGAATGATGCCAAGGTGTTCCAGTATTGCAGGCCTCTGTCGGCTTTTGTCTGCACATGTCTTCATGGCACACCACGACGTGTCTACGTGTCTTTTGCAGCGGTGGCCCACATGGGAACCTGAAGATTCGCCAATGTTCAGAACAACTGCCCACTTGTCGAAGGCAACCAATCCTGGCAAGGTCGACTCATCCTCGTCGACCAACTGGAGACCAACAAAGGTTGAAGAACCCCCAAAGCGTTGACTATCCCAGTTGGGTACCCCAGTAGGGTGGCTAACTGAGTCAGGTAGGGAGGGGACCGCTAGACGTCTTGGCCCAACTGGAGGACTTTTTCTCCGCTGCCACTGGAGCATCTGCCAGGCCTGCGGCGATCGGTACGACATCCAGCGATCGCGTTCCCGGAACTGGGCTCCAGTCATACCGAACCTGAGGAGTTACTTGGAGCTGTAGGGATTGAGTGTTTCAAGCTGCCCAATCAATTGAGTCATTCGGATCGGTGGGGGTTGCCTAAATCTATTTGCTCAGGATGATGCTATAGACATCGGAGTTTATCTGCCTCAGCATTCGAGGTGGAAACGGTGGACAAGTTGCATATCTACCTCACTGGTACTGCTTTGGATATAGAGGCACAGATCAAGCTCATCACAAAAAACATCTTAAAACAACGCAAAGAGCAAGCGCGAATCAGTTCAGCACCCAATTGTCTATCATCACGCTTGCCCTTGGCCCAGTTCACCTCCCAAAGCTTGTGTCTCTCCGAGTTTGTCTTGGGCCCATCATCTCTTGCCAGGTGGTTCTTGGGAGTGATGCCCTGAAAGGGATAAAAAAGGACACCAATTCTCAATCCTGCTGTCGCTTCAGGTTTCTACCTGTTTCTATGCTTTATCCCATCAACAGGCCAAAGGAAGAGAGACGTTGATGTTGTCCCAGTCACCCCATGTTCACCCTCGCAAATTCGCCAAGGCAAGTTGTGGCACGTCGGGTCAAACACCCGGCTGATGCAGTTTCGGCATGCTTTGGGCCGAAAGACCGATCCTAGATTGTTAGATAACCAGATCGCACAAGTTTCGCCCTACTCAAATGAACAAGATCACCAAGTCTGACTTGCCGGTCGCTCCCAATCAGAAGTGGAAGGTCCGAGACAGTGAAAACCCATCGAATGGTTTCTTCTTGAAAAACAGCGGCCCTTAGCATTGATCCCCACAATAGAACAAAAAGAAGCACACACTGACTCGATAACCCTCCACATGCCAATTCAGCCTTTTTGCCCGCGCAGTCTGACCAAACATCGCGGGTGTAGTTCTTCTTTCTGCAGTCTTCCCTTGAATCTGCAGCCCTCACACTTTAGTCTATCTCTTGGATTTGCTTGAAGAACCTGGAAAAGTAAACACATATTCTCCAGAAGGGGCTCAACCATAGGGAAAACACACAAATCATCTTAAGCAAAACCAGGTTCTTCTTCTTCTTCTTCTTCACCTTGCGAATCCAGATCGTCGCCTTCAGCTCTCCACACCATGGATGACCTGCGAGCGGCCACCCGCTCTCCACACGCCACGCGACCAAGCTGAGATCAGGTGGACCCTGATGTTTCCTGTCACCCGCTCCGGGCTCCAAAAACCACCCATTGGAGCGGAGTTCGTCCGGAAAGACTCATGAAAACGTCCTATATAACCCACTTCTTTGGGCCCGAAGCCATCTGCAAGGAGAACTCACCATGGCTTCATGGAGTCCACCACCTGGGTTTCCAGTTTCCAGGGGCCTATGTTCCACTTCCATGACTCTAACAGGGGGTGCAAGGTCCAGATTGAACCTCATAGAACCCTTCTAGAACCCTTCTTCTCGCCGAGGCGTGCACCTTTAACGCCTTGCTCAGCATCACATCACGCATGTAGTCCTGGAGGTCTGGAGACTCGGTCGCCATCTCGGTCGCCCGAGGTTGTCTCGGATGGCCCGACGGCCCGAGTTCATCGAGGTCAAATCACCCTGGAGTCTTCTCACATGGGACTCTGAACACCCCGCGCGGCTTGGGTCTTCGAAAAAAAGGGGGATCGAAAAACCACCGGGTTTCGACCACTTGTTCCGGGGCTCCATTTGGGATCGTCTTCGGGAGCGTCACACTCCGAACTCACGACATGGTGGCCTGTGGATGGCACCCGGACTCGGAAGCCCAGGAGTTCTCTGAAGAACGACGGGCGGCTTGCACCCCAAGGGAGACCTCCACCTTTCAACAACTGTCATCTGTTCATGGATGTGAAACTCAAATATCGGTAGACCTCCCAGACATTTCGACCCTGTGGGTTCGGCTGAGGGGTGAAACAAGACCGCCTACCTGGCCCGGGGGCAACTGTGGGGGTGATCCGGGCCAAGCGTAGACATCCAGGTGCCAGGACCTTCGAAGTCCGGTGGTTAGAATGGACACCCCGAATCAGACACCTCTCCTGGTTCTTTATTGACACCTCTCCTGGTAGAGGGGTATCATGATTCTCCAGGTTCTCCACGTTCTCGGGGGTTTTGGGGGGTCCCCTATGGTCCGGACTGGATCTGCCATGAGTGACGTCCTGTGAAGATCCAGGGGTCGGCTGGACCTTGTTGGATGGATAGTACGGAACTTGAACCTTGCTTTGTTTCACACTGGCTTGACTGGCAAGAAGATAGACTAATACAGAAGAACTTTAAACACCTAACTGAATCAGTCAAAATACTTCAGAAACCTGAGTAAAAGATTGCTTCGTTTCATGTGCGTGAGGTTGCTTCGCTCCCACATCAGACTCCTGAACTATTCAGCAGTCCACACCACTGTCAAATTTGGCTGAACGCCATTGATAAAAATGATAAAAGAAACTGCTGAACCTCCAAAAGACCTCCGAATCACTGGATATAGATGTGGTGGGCAGTCTACATCTCAATGTGAGGAGATAGATGGAGATAGTTACCTTCCCACAAGTACATCATCGTCCATCATCGTCATCATGATGATCATGATCATGATCATGATGATCATCACCGTCATCGACATCATCGACATCATCATCATCATCATCATCATCATCATCATCATCATCATCATCA